AAATCAAAATTTGTCCACGATAAGATGGATCAGTTAATGATTCAGGATATCCAACCATTCCTATGCAATATATTGGAGTTCAATGGTAACTAAGATAATCTATTATAATATAACATGTAGTATGATCAAATAGAGCGATCATAATATTTTTTCCCTGATTTGATCATTTAAACTTTTCGAATTTGGTTTTTATCAATGTACCAATAAAAATGTGATCCACACATTTGTAATAAATCTACTATCCATATTCAAAAAAATCTATTTTAAAGAAAAAAAGAAGCCATTTTTTTTTCAATTCCTTTTTTGTAAACTCACCAGTCTGAAAAACACACTCGCCAGCAACTGATCTGCTCTCTGAGCCAAAAGAAAATCCTTGATAAATTGTTTCGTCTTTTAAAACTAAGGTCGAAATGGTTATTTCAGCTTTGCTGGCTGCTGATGGGGGAGCAGTAACAGGTGGCAATGGCGACCGTGGCGATCGTGGCGAAGAATTAATATTCCTTAAAATTTTAATATTATTCATGATGAAAAAATTTTTCTTAATCTGTCTTAATCTAAGATTGGCCACATATACTGATTTGTAACACAATTTTTTTATACAAAAAATTAATAATGAATGAATTCTTATTATTATGTATCAAAATTTCGGTAGCTATTATCTTCTATAAATTTTGTTGCTGCTATTATTATTCCGCTTTACATTAATAAATATCCTTTGAATAGTTACTAAAAAAAAATTTTTATTTGTAATAACGAAACAAATATACAAAAAATTCAAATTCTATCTAGTCCACCAATATTTTTCTTATGGTTATGAAAATAGTATCAAATAAAAGTCCATAATTTGCTCTTTCACTTGACAGTTGTTGATTTTTAAAAATTTTTTAATTTTTATGAAAAATTTTTTTATTCTTCATTTATATATTTTTTAAACATCAAAACATCAAGACTAATAAAATTTTTTTGTAAACAAAAAATCAAAAATCAAAATCATCATTTTGTTAGTATGTTATTATTATTATTATTATTATTATGAATACTTCTAATCAATTTCGAATAGAGGTTTATGAGATAAAATTTGATTAAAAATTGATCTGCATCTTATTCTTTGTATTGCAGATCATTAAAAATTATAATAGTATATATATACTATGTAATAGTTAAAATTGATTAATTGATAATTATGATTTATTAATATTAAATTAATTGGTAAATATTTAAATTGATAATTGATAAATATTTCCTTTGTTATACAATATATTAAAGAAAGATGAATTTCTATATGTGGAAACGCGTTGTAATGATCGACATTTTATTTTGTTTTAATAAAACATAATTCGCGTTTTTGTTTAGCAGTGATATATACACGTTTTTTAATGGATTATGATAGTGATGATGATGATTGTTATTGTCGAGAAATTTTCAAAGGTTTTAATTATGAGAATTTAATTGTAGGATTGTAAGAATTTGATAAAGAAAATTTCATCGGGTTTTTTGGATTTTTTAGAATTTAGTTTTAATTAAATAATTTATTATTAATGTTGCTTGCATTTATTTTTTATTATTATTTGGAAATTTGGATAAAATTAACAATTTTATTATTGTTGTTTGCTTTCATTTTTATTATTATTATTTGGAAGTTTGGATAAAATATTAATCAAACAATTTTATTATTGTTATTTGCATTCATCTTTTTTTTTATTTTTTGGGGATTTGGATTTTTAAATTTATATCACATGAATTCGTTAATGCGATTAAATCCTACCAAAAAATCGTTGTTCGTTGTAACAAGATTTAAATACAAAATTCGTTGAAACAAAAATCCATTGAAACGAGGGTTTGACTGCTGCACTTTCAAAACCATTTTCACATGATTTACAGCCAATCAGAATGATGAAAATGAATTAGCAAGTTAATTTCATGGACAAAGTTTGAAGCTTCAGTGATCGGTTTACTTTGTAAAACGCCATAATTATACTTCTACGGGTCATGGTTAAGGCTTACAAAAATAGAATTATCAGGAAGACAATTTGTGGAGAAATGATGTAAAATCGCAGAACTTTAAACCTTTGTAACTTTAACAAAAATCTCTTTGCGCTGTTATAGCACAAGTAAAACTGCAGCGAGTTTTTTGTTCTAGCATGCTTGGTTATTGATTTTAACGATCGGAAAAAAATTACTGTGAGCGACCTTATTTAATTTTAATTAGTATTAGGCCACCTTACGAAAAGGCGGAAGATTCAGTCAATCGGTACACTCTCTGTATTAGTATGGTAAAGCTGAAAGCATACTAATACAGTGCAAGATTTTTTTATAGGGATGTTTAAAACAGATCATTAATAAATTGTTTATGCATCCGTTCCAAAGTGCAAAGCACGAAGTATTGTTGAGTCATAATATTAATTGGTTACAAAGTTCGAGAAACTTATATTTACATTGGCCATTCTAAGTGTTAGTAATTATAATGATAGAATAATAAATCTTTGAGGTATATTGACATTTAGCAATTGTTTTATTATTAAAATATGTATAATTCGGACATAACTTCCTCAAATAGTTCAATGCCATCACTACTTTATATATTTTCTTAATTATCACAAACATGATTGAGCGCAACATTTTCCAAGAAATATTGTTGTTGACCAACCAGCAGTAATATCTTATGCCGTGATTTTTATTCGCCCGTTCCGGAATTTCTCTAAATACAAAATACTTTAGTATACTGAATGGTATGGTATAGCAAATTAATGAACAAAAACATCGATAAGAATAACACTGGCTTCTGGTTCTGTCCATATACCATTAAACAATGCTTTGAAATAATTGCATCTTGAAGCATTTGTATTTCTGATTCACCATTATTGAAATTTGAAAGCGACGTCACTAAAAGTTTTATTATTAAAATACTCTTTTAAAGAAGGAAGAAATTTGATGATAGTACCACGATTACTATAAATAATATCATTAGATAATGATGATGTCGATGAATCTACTAAAACAAACAACTTTGAAGTATATAAAATAGGAATATTGATGTATCAAAAAAATTTTATAACATTAAAAATCATTAAACTTTATACATTTAATAATATTATTTTGACTACTACTTGTATGACCAATTCAATCATTAACACCAAAGGAACAAAATTAATTATTTGCAATAAAAGCTATTGTATGTTTATTTATTGTTGCTTTTTTGATTTTAATATTAATTAATGCATGCTTTATTCACTTTTATTCAATTACCATTATTTTTTTTGTTCGTTTTGTTCGTTTTGTTCATTTCGATTTGTTTTTTTTGTTCAAATTATTCGAGTAAAACTTATTTGAATAGAAACCCTAACTACTACTCAAGATTATGATATCATTTTAGTACAAAGAGCTTTAGAAATATTTAATAACTTAATTACAATATAAAAGAGCTATTGGTTTATTAAATTAAGCTGATAATTAACTAAAAAATAGGATTAATTTTAGAAGAATATCTGATAAATATTGGCACTTTCAATATTTACGAATAGGCTTTTAGGCTATATGGTAAAAATACTAAGAATATTATTAACTTATCAGTAATGCCAATACCTTAATTATTCTTTAAAGAATATTTGTCAGATATCTGATACTGATATTTATTGATACCTCGTTACCCAATTTGGCATCATTTGACCAGTAAAAAGAGAACCAATAGATCAAGGAAAGATGGTAGCACAAAAGAATTTTAAGCTTGATGGCTTGATTGACATAGTGGTGCAGTCTTGCAATTTTTTTATTGTATATTTTAAATATAATTAATTACAGTCAAACCTTGTCACAGCGGATTGATGGGTCCATAGTAGATCTGATGTAAATGAGTTTCATATTAACTATTTTTGTCTAGATTTGTGATGTTAAACAAACATTATTGATCCCTGAAATTTTTGGTAATACCAATGTTCACTTTGACTGGTTTTGTTGCAGTATGCCCCATGTTATAATTGACATAACAAGCAATTGCATCACCCAGGTAATAATAACACCAAGGGCATGCATAAATGAAACTTTTAATAATGTGTCTCTACCCAGATCCCTGGAGTTCACAAAATAAATTATTTTTCCTGATTATCAATTATGGTTTATTATAGTGCTTTACCCTTTTCTTAGACACTGTTAAACATCGATGAAATATATAATTCATCTTAGAGATCTTTCTCAACAAGATGTATGGGAGTCTAAAGGGTTGGTTTTATATTACATAGAATTTTTTACAGATACACTGATACTTACTGCCACTCTTGGCCATTATTTACATATAATGGTATTGTTTTTACAAAATTTTACATCAAAATTTTTACATTGCTTAGTTTACTTTTAATTAATCTTTGGCCTTTTTTTTCATTAACTCCATAGCTTTTGCACGGTATTTTGTTTACTTTGATAGATGCAGTGTTATTTTTAAAGATGAGAAGTGTTTTCAATAATTTAAGGAAGAAGGTTGTTTTATATTATAATTATAGACAAGCTATTTCTAATATGCAAACTAGGTAATCTGGTTTTTTATGTTAATTGGTGATCAATTAGGTTAATTTTATCCAATATTTATACATTTTTATTATTATCACCACTGCTACAAAATAAAGTTGTAAAGCGCATCATTTTTTATTAATTATTTACTATTAAATTTTATGCTCTACACCATGAATTATTTTATTTTATTTAAACATTTAATATTATAGTTTAAAATTTATATATTTATATTTATATGTTTATTTATTTATTTAAAAAAAATGTAGATAATGGAAATATCATTCATCATTATATTTATATTTAATAGCAGAGAATTATTGTTTTTTTTCAATAAGACCCATTTAAATCTTTATCAACAAGAAGATCCTTTCTCATGATTTATATAATTTACATAATTATCAGCACATGTTATTTATTAAAAAATTTCAATAATAGCCGAGAAATTAATCTAAAGTATGGTCATTAAATAATTAATAAACCAAATAATCATTCCTTGTTTATCGTTCACGAAATTCGTAAAAAACTTTTCCCCCGTTTAAACTTAATAATTTTCTTGAAAGATCAATAGCATCTGGTGGAACATTGTTACATCCATTTAATACAAGTTCTTTTAAAGATCTTTGGCATTTTTGTACAAAAAAACCTACACCACTTCCTGTTATATTGCAACATGATTTGAGATTTATCAATCTCAAATTGACAAAAAAATTTCCCATGATTCTCAAAGATTTATCTGTTATATTTGAATTTCCATGAAAATCAATTTCTTCTAATTTCTTGGATAATCTTGATTTACACAAGAATGTTACACCATCATCATCAATCCCTATCGAACAACCAAATCTCAAAATTTTTAGATTCTCACTATAAATTGATATTACATTCAATGCTTGGTTTGTCAATCGCTTGCAATCACTAAGATCCAATATTTCCAAGTTTTTGCATGACTTAACTAAACATTCAATGCAATAATCGGACATTTCTGAACAATTGATCAAAGTAAACTCATGCAAGTTTACACAAGTTGTTGTAAAACTATTAAATTCTTTTCCAAAACTTGCTGCAGAATTATTTATGTGTTCAAATAAAGCAACTCTTTTCAATTCAGGATAATTAGTTAATTTTGAAAATACTTCTGGTGTGATTACTGAATTACATTTGAGATCAAGTTGGATGATCTTTGGGAATAATCCAACCAAATAATTGATTACTGAATATTCTACCGTTTCACATCCAGATAAATTAATTGAAGCAATTCCAGTAGCTTTACATTGTAAATCATTAGGATCAAATGCCTCGGTGGTGACACCATTACAACTTGATAGATCCAATGTTTCTAATTTTGAACATGTTGTCAATATTTTTCGAACTGTTCTATTGCCAACACTTGTATCTGACAAATTTAGATGCTTTAGGTTAAGACCAGTAGTATGTATAAACACACAAATTTCTGTATCACTTATTAATGTATTTGACATCAATTCTAAACTTGTCAGTTGATGGCACATTGTTTTCCTGAGTACTTTTAATGAACAATCAGTTAATTTTGGTGATTCACCAAAAAATATCCTTCTAATTGTTATTTTTTCATGTTGTACATGTTGCACATACAATTTAACAAGTTTGTCAGTTATTTTGACATTGCTATTCACACGAAAATCCAAATCTTGCCATAATCTTTTCATTGATATGATATATTCCCGCCATCTTTTTGAAACTGCTGTCAGTCTACAGATATTAGCAAATGTAAAGGAGCCAAAAATTTCGAGATTGATTTCATGTGGTAGAATTATTGTTATGTCATAGGTGGTACGCTATGTTATCAAAATAAATATATTTTAAAATAGGATAAAATATATTAATATTATTTAATAATGAAATTAATTATTTATACCTTTACTGCCAAGTTTAGATATTCATTGGAAAATTCACATAATTTCTACAAAACAATAATTAAAATAATAATTAAAATTTTACATTTTATGGACCTTTTTAATGTATACATATGATATTACCTGATAAGAAGGATCATCTTGATCAACTTTACTTATGCCTAGTAAATAATTTTCTTTTACAGCTTCCTTTTGATTCAAAATTTTATAAAGATTCCCTGCACGAAGATAGCCCTAATAACAATAAAGACGATGATGATAATTCAACAATTAATTTCAATAAAAGAGATGATTAATAGTTAAGATAATTCATATAATCACCATTGCCGAATTTGGTGATAACTTAATCATTGTCTTTGCATCATTTAATGCATCACTTAATTTTTCTAATTTTTCATATGTAGCTGCTCGACAATCATAAAATTGAATATTATTTGGATTCAAATCAATTGCCTATTGAAAGGAATAATAATTTTAGATTTATTTTATTGTTGACTAGAATATAATATGTACCTGTAACATACTTCTGTAAGTAAAAATGATGCTGTTAAGTATTGTTCTCCTTGAAATGCAGTCATTGCTCTTTGATAAAGTTGATGAGATGATGATGGTTTGAAGGAATTCTTGTCAATTGAAATTCTTGTTCTTGGATTAAACATTTTATTTGAGTTGGTGTTATGATGATGCCGATCATACCTACGCGTATTAGCGCGATTTTTGTACGAACGTGATCTACATTTTTCGTCATATATAGGAAACAAAATCTATTTTTAACAGAACTTTTGAGAAGCTTGAAATCAAATCAAAAGGCGAAAATAATTTCACTTTTTGCTTTCTATTAATCACAATACCAATACCTTAATTGATCCATTTTTTGCAATTATGTTAACAATGGGCCTAATGGATTACAGAACTTGCTGAAGAAAGGGCCAAATTTATTCTCATAACAGATTTGAGGTAAAGTATTTTCATACATGATGGAAAAAATCACACAAGTTTTCAAAATCAAAATACCCTTGGCGAAATCAAAATCTAAATTTGAAATTGAAACCAAAATTCAAAATCAAAATAGAAATTCAAAAAATCGAAATTGAAATAAATTATTTTAAAAAGCCCAAATACATGGAAATTATTTTTTTACAACAATTACATATTATCACAGTCAGTTAAAAATTGGCTAACTAATTCTTTAACATCACATTCTGTTGATTCATTTCTGCTTACTTCCTGGTTTTCATTTATATTATCATTGTTTTGATCTATATTAAAATAGGATCACTAAGATCAACTATTTTTAAAGTAGTGTGAGGTCAAAATCCGCGCCTCACACAATCTCTAGATTTGGTTAGAATAGTATTTATTTTGTTTGTGTGGCAGTATCCAAATATTTAATTTATAATCACGTTTTCTTATTTTATGGCAGTAATAGCACTCAAGCTATTAATTTGTTGTAGGGCAAGTTTTATTACTTCCCGTCCGGTAACGTTTTCTTGGCAGTCCTTTGTTATCTGCCTGAGTTACTACTGGATTTGTTTAGCAAGCCATTCAGAAGTAGAATATTTTAAAAGGTTAATTAAATTAATGATATCATTATAAAAATCTTTACATTCCTTCTGGGCAATTATTGTAATAAAATTAATTCTTGATTCCTGATCATCAAATGATGTAATTAATTCCTTTTTTAATTTTTCATTTCTACTTTTAATTTATTATTCTCTTCTTCTAGTCTGTTGATTATTTGTTCATTTTCCTTGATATTTCCAACATAATATAACCTCTGTGATTCTGATTTTTTTAATTCATCTTGTGTTTTCAATAACTTCCCATGTGTTTTTGATAACTCTATTGTAAGCCTTGTGATCTCAGCATTAGGTAAAGTAGCTTGGTTGCTGAACTTGTGAAGCTCTTCCTCAGAAGATGAATTTAAGTTTCTTCAGAAGAATCATCTGCTTTTTTTAATTTCTCAAGAAAATTATCAGTAACAATTATTTGATTGTAATGTTTTTTCACAAATTGAATAATTTTCTAAAGAATCACATAATAAAAATAATTTAGGAAAATATTTAATAAATAATTTTATATGTTCCCTTGCTGCTAATCCTGATGCATGCCTATACTTTTGAATCCCAACTTTACATGTTGCTGGTTGGCTTTCTGGATATTTAATAGAAAGACCATCAAATAAACATTGGCAAGTCTGGTGTTTTGCATTTTTAGAGATTAAAATCTATATATTTAAAAAAATTTTGAATTTTCACGTAAATTTCAAGTAAGTTTTGAGTCTAGACAATTCTTTATGCTGTTATATAAGGCTTTGGGGATGAGAGTGGATTATTAAAGTATATATTCAGAAGAATGTATTTCAATATTTATTTTTAGGGTTCTTATAGGGAAAAAATGCAACCTAATATAAAAGGGAAGTGTTTTCTAAACTTGTTTGTATCATATATGAGATGATCGGCAAAAAGCTCTAGAATCGATTTCCATATTTGGAAATCTCCCTGACTGCATCATTTCTAAGAACTTTTTGCAATATTCAATGACATCTTCACACTCATGTTCATCATAATAGACATCTTTGCTATAAGTTTTGAAGTAAAATCCCATTTTATGCAGCCATTGGCATGCAGTTTCACAGCTAATTAATGAAATATTGAATAAATAAATATTAACTGCAGTTCAATTTATATATATTTAATGAGAACTCACCTTATGTTTGTTTCTTTTTTGACCCCAACACATGATAAAATAACAGACGAAAGGTGATTAGTAAAATCATTAATATTAAATTTAAATTTTTTTTCATGTAAAAATTTTGTTATTCTTAATTTAATGTCTTCATCATCTAATAAACTTGATGTTTTCTATGCAAACCACAATTTGAAAATGGAATAGGATCTCCTTCTTTGACAATTCTTGAATACAGCAAGCAAAATATTTACCTCTATCTAATTGATTTGCAATAGATATGCTTGATTCTAACTTTTTCTTACCTAATTTAATTAATTTTAAATATTGAAGCACAACTGTAAATTGTAATTTATATCCATTACTAAAATCATTGTTTTTAAGCTGCTTCTCTAAGTCACTAATTGCAACTTCTGTCATTTCTTTATCATTACTTTCAATAAATTCCTCAGAACTTTCATTTTCACTACTAACATCTGCTCCACTTTTTTCAAGAAATGCAGTTATTAATTGACCATTTTTTTCACATTTTTCTTAGCCTCACTTTGTTTCCGGCAATAAGTTCTGGAATAGTTACCTATATAGCTTGATGATGAAGTGTAATTTTTCATGGATTCATTGAGGATATCAATATATTTTACAGAATTTTCATCTAATTCTCTATCTATTCCTTCTTCAAACCAACTTTCCTCAGATTCTTCACATGAAAATTGTTCTAAATTAGTTTCTAATTGATTTTCATTACCAGATGAGCTATTATTATTTTTTTTGACTAAAGCAAGTCTATTTAAATGTGCTTTTTGCTTTGTAAATTTAGGCATGATTAATTGGTAAATTTCAAAAAAGAGTTAGATTTTTTGGAAAAAAAAACGCGTTAAAAAATTGAATTGAAATTACATCACGTGATGTGTGTAACATGGAATTAAGGTTAATTCCAGTTAAATTTAGCAATTTTGGTAAGATTTATGTGGACAAATTGAGGTCAAACATAGAATAATGATAATTTTTAAAAACTCATAGCTCCATCTAGAATTGGATTTTTAAAAAAAACTCTTCATTTTTTGTTAATTCAAGCTTCAAACTAACTGTTTATGAAGAGCCTTTTGATTTATTTTATCTGCTGACATACTAGATAGAATTGAAAATGTTCATGTAAAAGTTGCTGGGATTAGACTAGACGCACCATATATTAAAGGTCTTGAACAAAATGTTATAGATTTAGCCTGTGATGAGGATATCTTCAGAAGAACAAAAACCTATCATAATGCAAACTTGACTGGCAGATTCATCTTAGGCCAGTGGCATACTCAAAACCTATGGCTAATGCCTTAATAACTGCCTTCAGTGGATATGACATTTACAATATTGCTACTGCATTTGGTGTTTGTTTTTAGACCAATTGAAGATAATGTTCAGTTAATGATATTCCCAACAGAAATAATGGTTTTTATGCTTCTGCTTATCCGGATTTTGTAAAGGCACCAGTTAGCAAATGGGGAATTCTGATATGCAGATGCATAACTTGGCCGCATTCTCACTACTATTTCTAATTGTTGGAAATACTCAATCAGTTATATTTTTCCTAGAAACAGCCTAAAGGAATCTTGGACAGAGAGAATTGTTGAAAAATGTATGTTCAGTAAATCTGACAAGGAAAGGACATTACTTCAGATTTGACAAGGCACTTGAATATTATGGTGACAAATTCACAAAATATTACTGGAAAATCTACAAATCTTGATAACCTCATACTACAAATTCAGTCAGTCCAAACAGAGCATGAACATTTGGCCACTTGTCTTAGAATTTGATGGAAGATCCTACTGAGCATATTTTTTTAAAATTCAAAAGAAATGAATGGAAATGTTATAAAAAGGTTTAAATCGCCTTGATAATCTCTTAAAACAAGACAATATCACATTCCACTGTTGGCAGAAGAACTAGTATTGTAAAAGTTAAAGAACATCTTGAGCTGTTTAAAAAAAATCAAGATGAAAAAGAGGTTAGGGAAAATTACTAATTCTTAGTGAAGAGACAACAACTGCACCAGTCAATGAGATAATACAGGAGAAAATGAGTAAGAGACGTAAAAAAAACAGATGAGGAACTTGAAATTCGTAAAGAGGTATTTGGTCACATTGTAGATTTACCAAAGGGTGTAGCAAAAAAGATTTATCTGAAGATCTACATCCAGTAAAGTTAGAAATTACTGGTATGTGAAAAGAAAAAAGAAATAAATTGTGATGTTAACATTAGTGGTTGTATCCGTTGATTATCCGGGTGTTTGAGCAATTAGTCAATCAATAAAACTCAACATCCGGATAATTGGTCATTCACCGAATATCCGCTGAATATCCGCCGAATATCCGTTAAATTTATTTAAAAAAAATTTAATAAATTTTTATTCAATTACGTGGGAAAAATTTTCAATATCCAATTAACCAGATAATTGGTGAATATCATTCGGCGGATACAACCACCAGTTAACATAAAACTCAGTGAGATCACTCCTTTCTTTAATGGCACATATAATCATTTTTAACAATTTTTTCATATCTAACATTGAATATTAAATTCATTTAATATAATTTTTGATACCTAGTATTGATATTTAATTTTTCCTCTTTTATTATCTGTTCACTCAATTTTGGTATTTTTGTCATTAATATATATTATTCTAAAATTCTTCACAAAGAACTTTTGACAAATTATGTCATAACGGGATAAATAGCGAGTGTGGAAGTAAATTTATATTCATAAGATTGTCATTACAACGAACTGTCAATAATTGTATTAATAATTATTTTATTTAAAAGAGGAAACTAAGATATATAATTTACGTAATAATAAATCAAAAAATAATAACTCTACTAGACAATGATAATACTAATGAAGATAAACAGAGTAATAAAAAGAGTAGAGATAAATTAATTAAAATTATAAAAACTCTATCAATAACAGAAATAGAATGAATAAATTACCGTATATTTAATTTAAATTCGAATTGATCATCGAGCTAATAAAATTTGATTTTTGCAATGAAGTTACGAAACAAAGCAATAAAATATCACAATCATGGTTGTGGCGGTGAGCAACCTTGTACTACCAAAATATAAAAAAATAAACGAATATTCAAACCCTCCTTCCATTGTTGTTTTCTAACATGATCAAGTTTTGATTTGATACACACGGACAAAGAAAAACAAAATTTTAAGATGATAATAAAAAAAACGAATCGAAACGATTTTTAATATATTATTAAATATCCATTTATACATATATATGTGTGTGTGCATGTAGTGTGTATGTAAAAGAAAATGTGTGTGTATCATTTAAATATTATATATCCAAAAAAGTATCTCCAATAATTAAATCAAATGATCAGGCGGTCATTTGTCAAAAAAAACCCCCTTTAATGAAAGAGATATATGGCGATCGACCGTTTTTGGTTTTTTATCCCTTAATAAGTTTCGTTGTTTGTGTTTGTGTTCGTTTTATTTTAGTTTTTATTATGGATTTGTAACTAGCTTAATTGCCTGCTTGCTGCCTTGTGTGTGCTGTGTGTGTGATTGTCATTTCCTGTGTTGTTTGTTTGTGTTTCTGATTTCCTATATATTTTTTTTGTACGGGTGTTTGTGTTTCTGATTTCCAATCACAAAAAAAAAGTTTGCTGAGAAGAAGTAGTGTAAGTGACACGGCACCTTTAATGCGTGTATTTACACATATATATTAATATATACAGATTTTTACCATGTCATTACTATACCACAACATTTTTACGAATGATAATTATTGTATAGAACAACATAATACTTTTCCTTTTCTTTTAATACGCTGATCAGTGTTGCCATTATTGTTATTATTATTAATAGTATTGGTGCCTTGAATATTGCTGCTATTGTTAACATCATGGATATTACTATCATTGTTGTTGTTGTGAATGTTATTAATGTTATCATCAATGGTGTTAATACTATTATTATCTCCATTAATGCTGCTACTTCCACTAATAATACGAGAGTCATCATTTCCACTATTATTAGGAAGATTGGATGATGCTGATTGCCGGTTTCGTTGTTGTTTCATTTTCGTTATAAATTTAAATTTATTTAAATTGATAAATTTATTTTTATAGAATCTTCCCCCTCCTCCAATTCCGCTAATTGCACTCTCTCTTCTACTTCTACTTCTACTTCCTCTTCTTCCCCCAATACCGCCATCGATACTTCCGTCATCATCACCATTTTGTAATTGTTGATTGTGCTGAGTTAATGGTGCATCAGATGCCTCCGCAGTACTAAGCGCTTCATTTGTGGAATATTGTGATTCAACTTCCGATCCACCGTCAAGTAAATTTGGGTTAATTGGTCTTAGATATGTTAATGATGATTGATGTGATAACAGTATTCTTGCGGCTGGTACGCTAACAATTGGTGAATTTTGTCGACTATCAACTATTTAAATAAAAAGAAATGGAAAAAGAAAATTATTACTTGATATTGAAATTTGAAATCAAATTTCTACCGGTTCTATATGCCTCTCCAACCCAACGAACGGACCCATATATCATTATCATTATCTTACCATTAATCCCTGAATCCTTACCGGTGCTATTATGTTTAATTGATCGTGCATCATCATCATCGTTACTATTAGAAATAGTAGTATTAGTACTATCACCGAAATCATCTTTTTTATCTTGCCATACTTTTCTATTTGAATTAATAATATTTACGCAAAATTTCAACTCTAAATTATTTTTCCGGAAAATAAATTTTTAATTAATTATCAACAAAAGAAATTATATATGTGAAATTTTTTCTAATTTAATATTCAAATACATTAAGTACCTGGAATTAATTCGCTGACAGATTTAAACAATGGCATAGCAAATATATCAATAAAAGAAATTTGAGAATCTGATTGTGATATTTGACCATTATTTATCGGATTAACAGGCAGCCCTAATTTTTTTTCTAAATTACCCTGACATGTAAACTCTTTCAACAGTACATCTGACCATTCTGCTGCTATATGATATGGTCTTGCCTTTAATATGATGAAGATCGGGGAGAAGAGGAAAAAACAAGAAATAAATATTAACAACAAAAATTTAAAAAATTTAATTTTTAATATATATTTTTTTATTATCATTAATATCAAGAAGCTTACTGCATTACTGATATCAGCACATTTAATCAACGCGCCTACGACTATATTTTTTTCTTGTTCCGATTTTATATCAAAATTGCCAGATCCGAGTCTTTTTTTTTGATCTCTTATTTTCACGACATATTCATTATGTAACCCCATATCTGTTGCCAGTATAGCGTTTACTACAACCTTACGAAATTCTAAAATAATAATATTGAAATTATTAATATTCATTAAAAGAAAAAAATATTGATTTTAAAACCCCCCAGTCAATATATAAATATATATGTGTGTGTATGTACCAGCATATTTTGAATTATATTCAGTTTCGCCTTCATATACTTTGAATCCATATTTCTGCATTAAAGTAAATAAAGTCATTGCATGAAAACTTTCAAGTACTGATTTATCATTATATAAATGTGCCAGTGGAGTTTGGCTATTTATCTATAAAAATTGAAAATAATCAAATAAAAATAATTAAAGCATAACCACATACATTAAAAACAAAATCACGCATACATGTAGAAAACATAAATATTACATACCAAAAAAAAATTATTAACACCAGGATGTCCAACATCATGCCCAATAGAAGCCAACAACAAAGCAAAGGAATCGGCGTCTTTTAATAACTCATTAGGACGACATCCACCACCATTCATACTTTTACTACCATTTTTACTTTTGCTGCTGCTACTACTTCTTCGTCTATATCTATCAGTATATTTATAACCACTACTAGTAGAAGAAAAAAAAAGTGGTATCAAGCCCATCTCACATAAGAAGAAAAACATTGCTTGTAGTACATCGACTGCATGTGTAAAATTGTGATATGGATTACTGTCGTAGTACGATTGTCTTATTGCCAATAAAAATCGATGTAATTGTTCTTGTAAAGACAATGTTTTAAAAAAAATATATATATATAAAGTAAGTATGTATGAACAATCATGAAAAAGAAGCGTATATATGCATGGACACACGCACACTCTATTTTTATATATATATAAATAGCTACCTGACGGAACATTTAATTGTCTTAGGTCATCAAGATCCATAACATGTTCAAAAATAATAACAACACATCTTAACAAATCCTCCTCACTCAATTTCTGAGCATCAAATTCCCAATTAGTTAATTGTTTCTTTAAGTAATTGACTCTTTCCAATTCGGAAGCAGAATCCAACCTAAAACATAATTTATTGTTATTATTCATTTATTTTTAATTTTTATAAAAAAGATTTATTATATTTTTTTTTTCTAACTTTTTTTTATATTTTTGTATTAAATATTTGCATTATTAGTTAAATACAATTAATAACAATTGGTTTTTTTTGGATCCATGGCATACCTTGGTATATATGCAATATTTATATCTAATTCTGGTGGTGTATAATATTCAATAATTGTTTCAGCTAACCTTCATGATGATTATCAAAAATAAGATTTATTTTTAGAAAGACTGTTGATATCAAACAATCAAAATAAAATAAAAATAAAATAATAAAATAAACATTGCATACCATTTATCTTTTATAAAAAAATCATCAAGTCTTTCTTCAAAATTTGAAATTCTTCTTATTAAAGGTTTTGGAAATTCTATTGTTGTGGTCGTGTGATGTGAATGTTTATTGATGTTTCCTATAATACTATTATATCTATGTAGATGCTATATATTATCATATATAATTATCAATCAATTAATTAATTATACATGCTTTTTTAAGAGTAAAAAAAAAACCTTGGGTCATTATTGCTACCCAATCCATCTATTCCAAAATAATAAAAATTTTTTTTACCAAGAAAACAGTTTTAGCAACTTCTTGGCGAATAGGTTTTATCAAATAGTCAGCAGCACCTTTGTTTAAACAATCTAACATTAATTCTGGGGAATCATTCCAAGAACATACTGTTACGAAATTGCACATGAATTGATAGAATTGATAAATTAGTAAAAGTTTTATTAATTAATTAATCAATTAATCGATTATTAAAACAAAATACAAATAAATACCAATAGGAATAGCTTGTTCCAGGTTTCCTTTTGACACTTCTGAATTAATGTATTTCAACAATTCCAAACCGTATAAGGGATCTTTTGTAGTAGTAAACTCTGGTAATGAAATGCCGTCTTTCATTGCCACAAAAGATTCTCTTCTAGCATATAAATCTCTACTAACACCATCTGTATGATCTATGTCTATTAATACTATCGTTGGCAAACGACTTTCTCTTAAATTAGTCATTGCTCGTTTTCCTGATGGAACAGTTATCACTATATTATTAAATAAATAAGTTAAAGTTAGTGATAATTAGTGATATATGTGTTGTACCACCTAACAACAAATCAATTATTAATTTATAATTATTATTTATTATTTATATTTATTATTTATTATTTATTTATTTATTTATTTATTTTTTATAGATCTAATTAATTTTAATAATATCTAATCATGGTCAATACTAAACCACCAAACTACTTTCTTCCACATTATAAATCATGCAATCCAGATAGTATCAAATATAATTGATTATCATTATAATAAAAATAAAAATAATAGGAATAATAAAACAACAATCAACGATCAATAACCTAAATATAAATAAAATTATTAAATACCTTCAGAAAATATTGATAAAAATATTTTTATCAAATCATCAACGCTTTGACTATTGTTATTATTGTTGCTGTTGTCAAAAAGACCTTGATCAACATTATTAACAGAATCATTTATTCCATTAATATTATATCCGGTAATACTGCTACTGATATTATTATTGTTATTACTAGCATCACTGTTAATAATGCTACCATTTATAATTGCTCCATGACTACTAGCTCCACTAGCATAACCACTATCACCATATCCACTGCCATTAAAATCACTACCATAAGAACCAATATTTGATGACGGTGATGAAAAAGAAGAAGTAAAAAATAACTTTGAAGACCTTGCTGAATTATTATTATTATTGTTATTATTATATTTCTTTTCAGTACAAGAACGATCTACAACAATAATAGAACAATGATGATTTGGTGGATCCATTATGAAAAAAGGCGATGATGATGACAGAAGAGAATCTGTCGGTGGTGTTGACGATACTAATAGATTAGGAGCCAGTGGAATAAAAATTGAAATAAATAAATAAAATTACAGAACTCCTTTTGTTGTCGTTGATTCTAATGTTGTTTGACGATGATTATAATGCTGACTCTTGATTTTTTGGTTTTGATGATGAATTTGATGATTCTAGATCTATTGTTGTAATCTATTAATATTAATTTGACTGATAAATATATATTTTTTACCTTTGTTTTGTCAAAGTAAAAAATTTATGTCTAAAAAGAGAATTCGAGAAATCCAAAAAAGAATTTAGATTATTTTTTTTAAATAAAAATAAAGGATTCTTCTATAAAATTAAACAATATGTGTTTATATGTATATATAAATATATATATATATATGCAAAGAAAATATTTAAATCTATATTTTTTATATATTATGTATTATATTAATTATTATTATATATGTATTAAATTATAGTCGCGACTTTTTAGAATTGGTTAAAGCCACGAGGGAGAATTATGAAATAAAGAAAATTAAAAGTAAAGAAAAACCAAAAATGTATATTATTATTATTATTATATTATTATTATTATAAGAAAATAAATATAAAATAACAAGTCTATCTATCTATATATTATAAAGATTAATAAAAAGAAAAAAAAAATATTTAAAGAAGAAAGGGAAAATGATAAAGAAAAATTTTTTTTTATCTAAAAACTAAAAATAATAAATGTTTTTTTTTTGAATAAATATATTTATATTTTTTTTAATATATATATATATATTATAATATTATTATTAACATTTTTTTTTTTATTATAAATGGAATGAAATGAAAATTAAAGAAGTTTGGGAAAAACAAAAAACCTACAGAAATTTTTATTTTATATTATATATAATACAAAGTTTCTTTGGATGATTTTATAATTACATTACAGGGTTTTTATTTTTTATTTACGCTTAAGAAAATATATTTAAAAAACGTGCACTAAATAAATAAATAAATAAATAATTTTAAAAAATTTTTACAAATAAATATTATAACGGATTGTTACTAATGATAATAATATTATTATCAGTTATTATATTAGTGTGAAATAAATACAAAATATGTTTTGTGTGATGATAACGCAAAACTATAATAAAAAATTACCAGATATGTATAATTAGGAACATCAATACTAAACTGTTAAATGACAACAATCTTTTCTTTCATATATATATGATAATATAATATAAATGAGATACTTTATAAAGTTTAGATTAATTAATTAATTAGAGAATCTCGAGAAAATTGAAGGAATTGAGGGAATTGAATGAAGGAAGGGATTGAAGAAGCGAAAATTAAAATAAATTGCTAAATCAATCCTTAATTATTAAAAATTGTGCGCACTTGAACTCCAATGTTATGTGTTGTTGTATAATCACACGGTAAATAGTAAACAATATAATCGTTATAAAAATAATCATCACTATTGTGTCATCATAGGGAAAAATGATGATAATGATAATAATTTTATTATTGTTTTTGTTGTTGCGTGGAAGCCATGAATAATAATAGCGATAATACAAATACTAACATTTATTATATTATAGTGTAATAAATAATTAATAATATAATTATTATATATAAATGTTTATATTTTAAAATATTTCTCTTCGCTTCTTCCCCATCTTTATTTTCGTAATTATATTATTTTACCATTTCTTCTTTCACCCGTTCATCTGTTATAAAATTACTATTGCACATACATAGAATTCAATCGATAGTTCAATTAAATTGCTAATTTCAATCAATGCTGTATTTCCCATCCATTTACAAGCATCCGTATTATCTTACGCGGCGTAATTAATGTTTAATACATTCTTTATTCTTTTCGTTCGCTATTATTTCTTACCTTTTCTCCGTCCATGGAATTCAATGAAAGGATGAAAGTCTTAAAAATAAATAAATAATTATAAATATAGTAATAAAAATTAATTAAACAATTCTTATTTCATGTATAGAACTTACTAATACTTTATAATAATAATAACAATAATGTATGTGTTATGTAGTGTGTATGTGTGTGTGTGAATGTGTGATTAGTGATAATAATTATTCTTAATTTGTAGTTACTATTATTATCAATACGGGCATCTTAACATCTCAAATCATACTCATCATAATCTTTGTAGTTTTGTGTATTGTAGTGTGTGTGTGTGTGTGCGTGTGTGCGGTTGTGTGGTGGGTAGATGATGTTGGAGGGAAATATATTTGTCGTGGGGTAATAATAGCATCATTATTAATTAGATTAGCGGAAATATTATTTTTTTTTTGTACAATAAAGATGATGAATGAGTAAATTTCTGGTAAAGAGGAGACAAACGAGATGAAGGATGTGCGCACGTTATTAAGGTTATCCGGATGAATGAGTGGATAATAATAAATGTCGAAAGCATAACTATATAACAAATATCACTTAAAAGTAATCATTGTTATAATTATTATTGATAACAATGATAAAATAATGAGAAATTCTTCCCCGCATTTTTTTGTAACCAAATAAAATAAATAATGATAGAAGAAATATAAATAAAAGAAGATATGATAAAATTGTTTGTGTGTGATTTAATTATTTATTATTTATTTATTATTATAATAAAAAAAAACAATATTATAGATTTTTATAAAAAATATAATTATTGTTTAAAATAAATTTGGAGGCGTAAAATTCTCGATTTAATATTTTAAAATGAAAAAACATTAATATTATAGCGAGTGCCCGTTATTTTGTTGCAGACTATTTTGGTATGTGCTGGTAGGTGTTAGTGTTGGTTCGTGCTATATACTATTATGTTGGTCGATTACAACATTATGTGATCTAACACTAATTTCGAACGATATTGCTAAATTGCTCACGAATGAATATTATATTTATATAAATGATTTTCAATATAATATATAATATATTTAAATATACTTAAATAAACATCTTACATTTTAAGCTTACTATTTAAAGAGGTAATTTGTGGAGAAGGGAATTATCAAATTTCTAGATTTTGAACAGGATTTTTTGATTTTATATATATATATATATATATTAATATATATAGATAGATAGATTTACATATTTCGTTGTTTGTTGATTGATATTCTACTATAAAGATTAGTGTAACCCTTCCCCATTTTTGAACTACAGCAGTATATGGTGGGGTCGGCAGTTTATTAATATAAAGTAGCAGTATAAATAAAAAATAATAATTTCTTTTTCTATTTATTCCGTACAGTAATTGTTATAAAGTGTTGCATCCCTTTAAACCATATTATATCCATCATCGTTGCCGTCGTCGTGTCATCCATTATTAAAATAGTGGGTGAGTGAGTGAGTTGAGTAATTATGATACATGAAACTTTATATAAATCCCAAAATTTTTGGATAGATCGTCATCATCTACTGAAATAAGATCATTGTTAGAAAGAAAAATTTTTTTTTGTATATAGTTGGTATTACTTTGTTATCATCATTTTAATTGTCTTTATTTATTATTATTACTTATTATTAATAAGCCCCCCGAACAAGGAAAAATGGTTGAATCACGCGAATTGCTTGTTATACTTTCTTTTTTATATAAATAAATTTTTTGTCGTACATAAATAAAATCAATTTCCAAAATGCTTTTTACAGATTCTAATATTCACACACATTATTGAAGTTTTTCGATCATTGAATTGAACGTCCTTCAATTATTACGTTTTAAAAGTGATTCTAATTGTGAATCTTTTTTTATGGCTCTCTTCATCTTCCTCCTCTTCTCCTTATGATAATTATAATGAATGATGATGCTACAGTTTTCTTTGTTTTGGAATCACTAATTACTGCACATATTTTCGGCATATATTTACTAATACATTGTATCCGACTTGCTCACCTTAACTCATTCTAAAATACTATGGCTGCAATCCCTTGCGTTTTATTTGACGCATATGCTTTGCAATTTTCATAATTCATTTTCACATTTAATTTTCTAAAAAGCATAAACACGTTATTTTTTTTTGCAAAATGAAAAGCAAAACGAAAGACAAAGTATATTTTTTGTAATTATCAAAAATAAATAAAATTACCATTTTAAAATAGCTCACACTTTTGTTGTTGTTGTTGCTGCTGCTGCTGCTGTTGTTGTTGTTGTTGTTGTTGTTGTTATATACATTTTGGCTAACTACTACATAAACTTAATGGTAATGAACTAACAAATGAATGAATATATATATAGCAAAAGAACTATAACTATCTAGAAAAAAATAAAAAGTTACGCATTTAGCTTTTTTAAAATTACCAGCTACGCAATATGCACTTCTAACAAACTATATTTAAATATTAACTACTTAATTAACTACGTAATCAACTACGTGAAAATTTAGATAAATTAAATCTGTAAAAATAAAATCCGATGTTTTTTTATCTTTCTTTTCTTTATTACAATTTTCTTAAAGAAAAATTTTTATTTCGTGTGTAATCACGTGAAAACAAAACATTAAAAAAATGAATGAATGAATATGTTTGATCATGCTGTATGTGCATATTTAATACTTTTTTAATTCCGAGAAACAATGTACAATAACAGATATTAATAATATATATATATACATGCTGCAGAATCATACTACATTTTGAATTAATTCAGCAAAAAAACTACAAAAATCATCTTATCGTCAGCATTAGCTACAGCATTGATTAAGTTAATATGTAGTTAGTGTTGAAAAATGTAAATAAATTTTTAATTAAACATTAACATTGATATTAAAGATTTTAATTAATTGTTGATAAGATATATAATCAATTAATAATCAGTTGATTAATAAATTATACCACGAATGATACTGTAATATAGTATTAGGTATGTATTTTTTTTTAATAAATAATATATTTTTTTTTTTGGAAGAATAAATTAAAATAAAATAAAATAAAATAAAAAAACAGATGAAATAAACAGAATAAACAGGATAAATAAATAAATAAATAAATAAATAAGTATTCATGTTTTTATCAGCCAGACAGACATTAATGATATTATTATATAAATAACAATAATACAAAGAAAGAAAAAAATCATTTAAAAGAAAAAATAATAGAATCCCATTAAATGAATAATAATTAAAAAAAAAGTCCTTAGTAAACAACTCATCAAATTAAACCAGTTACCACTGACACTAATAAAATCCAACTATAATAATAATCATCTATATCTACAAGGAAATCAAAAACCACAAAGAAAATAAAATAAAATAAAATAAAAGAAAGATAAAAGCAAAAAGAAATTAATAATATGATATCGTATAATAATAAAAGATCATATGAAAAGATCATATGAAAAATAAAAATAAAAATAAATAAATAAAATCTCTATGCAAATTATTTTAAAAAAATAATGAAAGAATATATATAAGGAAGATCCAAAGGAAAGAATCTTTGGTAATTTTAAATAAAATGAATTTTCTTTTTTTTTTTTTCTAATAGAAATAAAAATTTAAGGAAGAAAATAATAATAATATTACTACAATATTACTACTACTATCATTAACACCCCACAGCCATTACTAATTATTATTTATTATATATACAGTAATTACAATTGGGATTGATTACTAAATGTTCAATGATTTCGTTTAGCATTTTTTCAATTCTTTGTGTTGTTTTATGCAAGAAATGGTTTTAATGTTTCTTTTAAATAAACTTGATGCAAATATTTTGTTTTTAATTCATCTAATCTCATTAAATTCAATTACAATCATTCATTAATATCTAATTCAATCCATTCACTAATCATTCATTCATTATTCATTAAATCATCCATTAAATAATTCAAATTTACATCCAAGAATTACACAATTGTTTTACCATCATCGTTTTTTAAGTTGTTTAATCTTACTTCTCAATTCTGATAGACTTTTTTCTTTAATATCTAATATACTTTCTAATTCTTTCAAGTAATTATTGAATGTAGTCACATTTATCTCCCTTGTCGGCGTTGTTGATGATGCATTATTATTAATAAAATCTTGCTTAGAGTTGCTAATGTCTATTGTAAATTGGGCTAAAAGTCTTGTTTCCTTTTTCCCCGCATCACTTGCTATTCTAAGCTCATGTCGATGTTTCTTAAGAAATTCTTCCATTTCATGCGGTGAATATGATGATGATGATAACATATGTTTTTGGGTGGATGATGTTGTTGTTGTTGCATCCTTATCATAATCATTATTATCATCATTATGACTATAATCATCATAATCTACACTACTATTGCTACATAATTTTTTAAAATTATTAGTATAAGTTGACGACGGACTGCGACTATTATTATTAAAATTTGGTAATGATGATGTAGACGATGATGATAAAATAGTTGCAACTGACGTATCCGACTTTGGTGTATTATTAACACTATCATTATTACTACCATTGAAATTTAATAAATCTGCCGCTCTTTTACCACCATTATCGGTTACATTACTACTACTATTACTATTATTATTATGATGATTATGATGATGATGGTGACTATGACTATGATTATGATTATTATTATTACTAGCATTACTCTTCATTTTATTAATAATGACTTTATTTTCAAAACTATTGCTGAGACTACTATTACCACTAACATCTAATAAATCTCTATTATGTTCGGGAAAATCAACATCAGCCAATCCATCAAATGGTAACTCTTCATTAAACAAGTAATCATCATCATCACTAATCAAGTCTTCGTCAAATAAATCCGAATCATTCCCACCACCATCATCAAATGTATTATTCCCATCTTCTCCATTATAGTCATCATCAAATCCTTCTTCATCATCAAACTCATAATCAACTTCATACTCTCCTTCTGCTTCCAATTTCTCATGTGCTTGTTTGTAATATTCTTGCCGTTGCTCTTCAGATAAATCGTTCAATTCACTTGCTGCCAATTCAAGTCCTGCTGCAACTCTGTCTGCTCTATCTCTTTCTGATTTTAATTCTTTAACACTTTATATATGTGTGTGTATATATGCGTGGGTGGAATAAATTTTAATTAATAATTTGAAATATTTAAACAACAACTAAAAAACTCATGTTTTGTTTTTATTTTTGTAAAATTTATTTTACCGGTCCGCGTATCTTAATGTATTTAATGTATGTTCACTGTTGGTGACGTTTGGTGAAATCGTTGCAATCATACAAGTTCTCGAATTGCCCACAAACGAATCTTTCAGCACCTGTTAGCAAAAATTAATAAATGTTATTTTTGTTGTTATTATCATAAGAAACCTGTCCAAAATCTTTAATATTTACAAACCTGCGTAAGTTTACTTTGTCGAAAAGGTGTATGTCTTTTATCTTGATCAAGTGCTCGAATACATTCTTTCAATGCCAATAAGCTTTTATTAATTTCTGCGCCTTCCATTCTACAATAAAAATTTTTTTTCACAACAATTATTTCGTCAAGCTGTTATTATCGATTTCACACACAAATACATCTATACACACAATAACACATTCATTCCTTCTACTCAAAATGAATACTAATAATCTGAAGTATTCAATTAATTGGGGATCCATGTACCTTGTTTGTTTATCAGCTTCTCCTCTATCTGCACCTCGCTCACTTCCTGCTAAATCAATAAAACTTAATTTTCCTATAACAATAGTAAATGTGTAATTGTTTAATATATTAATGAATTATATTAATCACGCACACATATATTAATATAACTACCATGAAATTTCTTTCTGTTTTTCTTGTGTTTTAATACCATTTGTAAGATAGCATGTGATCGAGATGAATCTTCGTTCGCGCCAGTTGCTCCTACAAAAAAAAAATTTTTTTATAAATTAATGATAATGATAATAAATAATTATAGTCACACAACAACACCATAGTCACCTACTTACCCGTACTACGAATATTGTTTCCATAATCGAAAACTTGCATCAAATTATCAACATTATCGATTGCATATTCTTGAAGTCCTGTTATTATTACATTTTTCTTGCCATCTTCTCTTGCATATAATTTTTTTCGTTGATTTAACAAATCATACAACTGTCCCTGATAAATTTCATAGAATCCTATATAGGCTGCTAAATAACTAAAATCTGGCTTTTGTAATAATGCAAAAATGTCTCGTGCTGCTTTTACATAAAGACCTATTTACATCAAGAAAATTTTATTATTATTGATAACTCAGAAAATTTGATTTAATTGAAATAATAAAAAAAACCCCGTAAAAGTTACCATTTTTTTCATTAAGCATAGTAAACGTTTTTCCAGAACCTAATAAATTTAATAACAATCGTTTTTAAATAAAAACATTTATCGCTCAAAATAAACATAATTTAAAAATTAAATCAAACCTGTTTGTCCGCTGGTTCGAAATTAATCAAAAAAAAAAGAAAGTTCAGAGTAAAGGAATTCAATTTTTCTCCTCAAATAAAATAAATATAAAACATGATTTAAATTGTATGTATATGTCGAAAGGATACTATGCAAAACATGTTGCTTTTCCACCTCGAAAAATATATTCAACCAATGGCAAAGCAGTTCTTTTATAAACCTACACAACATAAATAATATTTTCATTGTCACGCACCTTCTTAACTCTAATTTTTTTACTTATTTTTTTAAATTTAACTTTATAATAGTAGATATTAATTCTAACCTCTTCATTATTTGCATCAGAATCAAATACATCGTCAAATATAAATGTATGTTGTTCCACATATCTAGTCAAATCTACTTTCACTCTAATTAATCAATTATTTATTTATTTTAAGTTATTTAAGTTATAATATATACGTAAAAATTCAAAAAAAAAGTTAATTAAATTAATTAAAACCAAATCAACTAAACCAAATCACTATCATTATCACATTAAATAGTTAATTAAAATTGCAATAAATAGACAAATGTGTATAATAATAATAACAAAAGTATATCTCACTTTGGTTCATGAATCTGAATAGTTCTTTGACCATTAACAACAGCAATATCTTTCTCATTTCTATTTTGTTCTTTTTTACTAAGAGGCCTTTTACGAACACATACACGGATCTTATCGTTAAGATTACTTGGTTTTATAGATAATGAATACGAGCCGCCTCTCGAGGAATGTGAGGAATGTCGTGATGGCACACCGTATGCGTTCATTGGACGCCGATTTGGCGATGAGTTATAAATCGGCAACTCTTCCTCTTCTTCTTCATCCGGTTGTAGCATCAATTGTAGTTTATTATTAGTATTATTAGCTATGTATGGAGATGGTATTCGTGAAGTCCCCCTTAACGATGAAACTTTACGCCCTGCAAAAGTTGGTAATGAGGAAGGCTCCATGATTTTCTTTACTATAAATATTTAATTAATTACTTGAGTTAAATATTTTTTTTTTATTCTATAATATAAGATTTTTTTTTTTTGGGAAGAATTTGATTGTTGTGATAGACAGATAGTCTTTTGGTATGTCGAATTTGATTGAGTATCGTCGCATGCATACAGAATAGAATAGAGCCTAGTACATTGTAATACTAACCGATCATAAAAATTTTGTGCGAGTAAACGCCCCAACCAATCAGTGTCCAAGATTTGTGTAATATATCCATTTATGGTTAAATCAATTTAATGCAAGCTTTAAAGAATTTTAAAAATTGAATCTATATGATACATTACATTTTTAATTGATTGTTAGTGCAAGTGAATAACAATAGTTATGTGATGCAACAAAGTGAACATTATGTCACATAAAGATTTCTGGGTTCAAAATTTAATCATCACCATTGTATTACCAATATAATGTGATCTTGCATTTTATTTCCTTTCCCAATTCATAACTTTCTAATTATCCAATAACTTTTATACAGAATAATTGTAACAATCAATCCAAAAACATAAAATCATACTTGGCCTACTTCTTTCATCTTTACTTTCACTCAGTTCTTCAGTTTTTATTTGACATGTTGAATTGATTTCTAACTCTTGAATACATCAAGAAATTTTTTCTGATGTGAATTTACACTACTTGTGTAAGTTTACATTGGGCCCCATAAAAATTGCACAAAAATTATGCAATTATTATATTCAATGTAAATATTACATTATTTTTATGCAATATTACAACATTATATGGGGATATTGGAACAAAACCAGACAAAGTGGAAAGTTGCATTACCAAGATCAAAATTTAGTAACATGATCATTATTATGGCCATCTGTTATCTTTTTTTTTTTAAGTAGTATATAGAATTATTACTCCTAAATAAAAATAATTAATATGAAACTCATTTATATCAAATCTACCATGGAGCCCAAGAATTACAGCACAATTAGAAGTATTTTGAAGAAAGAACAAGGAGAAAAGATTGCACCTTATGTTTTCAAAATAAATGATACTCACGCACTTGAAACTTATTTAAGGAATGAAAAATTACCTATGGGATTTACCAAGAAGAAAGAAAATAATAAATGTTAGAAAAAGAAAGCAGAATGAAGATGTGCTATTATCCAACAAAAAACTGAAATCCTTAGAAGAAAAATAATCCCATTGTTACATATTGATTTATTTTTTCCTTTTAATTCTTCTAATGACATAAACATACAATTATAAAATCTAAAAAAGTTATATCTACTATTCATAAATAGATTTATCATCATAATTTCCTTTATTATTTGAAATATTGTTTTTATATTCATCAGCAGCTTTGTCAAATCTTTATTACATTTATAATCAGGAAGAATGTAAATCTTATTTTTATCATAATACTGCAGCTGCTTTTTTATAGTCATTGGATTATCATCAATAAGATATCAAAAGCCATAACATTTTCTCTAACTTACATCTAAAGGAAAATATCTATCATTTTCTTTGATAGTTGGAATGGATTTCAATTTATACAGAGAAAATTACTTTCTTATTTCCAATCAAGGCCATTTCTTAGTTTTCTTAACTTCAATTTGAACAATTTGTCCATTCATTTCCTCTTTTAACTTCTTGTTTTCCTCTTCTAGTTGCTTAATTTTTTCTTCTAAACCCTTTATCTTGGCCAATAATTTCTGCTTTTGTCTCTTACTCCACTCTTCAGATTTTTCTTGAAATTTGGTCACTTCTATACATGAAATTGAAACTATTTTGACCATTTGCAGATCTGGTCAAATAGGGTTGAAACAAGGTTGAAACTGATTTTTACTATGTAGACTGGTCTTCCTTGTGACTTACTAATTGCAGGATTTTCCAATACATCAGGAAGAGCAGAAGACAATTTTTCCAACTGAATACAAGCAGCAAGCTTGTTGATGTGGTGGCCAGAATTGGTATTGTTGTGTAAGATATTGAAAAGAAGCCAAAGGTCAGTGTGGTCACCATTGACAGGACGTGTAAGACCTCCTAAAAATTCAAGATGATGACCTTGGATCTACCAGTGTTCATGGATATCAGCTTGCTGCAATGTTTGATTATTTGTTATGTGTTCACTGATGAGATGTGAACATGGAAGACCCATCATGGACCTGAGGATACCTGTGCAAGGATCCAGAGATGAATCTGGAGTTGCATTTGATGCCTTAATCAACTCATCATGGATCTTCTGCAAGGCAAAAGCAGATATATGATACAAAAGAGGTTCAAACAGAGCTATTTGGTACATGAGTCATACTCTTAGACATTCAGAAGAGATCATTGCATGGATTTCCCTTGCCTGAGATTTTACTTGCAATATGATCTTATGATGTACTGATTCAAGATCACCTGTGGATGTTTGCAAACACTTTTTAAGAGCAGCATGTGCACCTTCTATTCATGAAGTTGCTTTGTTACCAAGATGCAAGTAACAATCAGCCCAGACAGAAACAAAGAATTCTTTATGTATTAACTAGGTTTCTTGAAGATACTGCAGGACATTGGGTTTACTCATAACATTTTAAAAATTCATTCCATTGGGTTGTGAAGTCTTGTTCAGTAATAGATGCTGTGACTGCTTTCCACAATCCAATGAACTCAGTCTAATGTAAGGTTGCTTGCTGAAACCTCTTAGTGACTGTTGAAACTCTGTTGAAACTCTAATGAATAATTAGTATATACCTTGTCAAAACTCTGACAATTGACAAAACCCCCAAATGTGAAACTCTCTAACTAAGGTTTCTGGCCGAAACTGCTTCTATTAGTAGCCGAAATTGCCCAAATACTTTGGGCAAAATTTATTTTTT